GAATATCCGACTTGGCCATCGACACCATTATACATATGGAGGCTTCGGTGCCAAGCTGCTCATCAAAGGCGGCGGCTAAGAGAAAAATTGGGACACAAATACAGATTGATGATGGATTTTCAAAATCCGCCGGCATCTCACGAAGCTTCAGCACTTCCTTCCAGGTAAATATTCAAAAAATAAATTTGAATGAATTCCGTCAGCGAGTGGACGGAAAAATGAATAATATAAAGAAAATTAAAAGCACCGAAGACCTCATATCCCGCATCAAGGGGGAAAAAAGTCACTGAGGGTTCACAGAGAGACCCTCAGGGAACAGATTCGGCTCCTTGATGCGCAGGAGCTCTCCCTCGACAGGAATGAGCGGTCTGCCAACGAGACAAAGAAAAAATATGAGGTCATCGCTGCAAAATTTAGTGAAATTAATAATTAAATATAAAAATATTTGATTATTATTAATTTTATTAAATTGCAGATGCTTTTAATCTTCTTTGTTATATATTTAAATATCTTGTATTGCAAAAAATAAATCATATTTGTAGTGTAGTTTAAAAAAATATATTTAAATATAGTATTATTATTTATTCATTTGTTTTCTTTACCAATTGAAACCTAAAATATATATGAAATAATAAAACATTCTTTTTGTGATTACCTAGTTTTTGACAAGTAAAATAAAAAATATTTTTATTACAAATATATTTTCTTGTGAACATTAAAATAAAAATATATGCTACATATTAATTAAATAAACCATATTAAAAGAAGTAGTGTTTTTTTTATCATATAAAATATTATTAATTAATACAATTGATTATAGTTTACATTTCAAATATTAAAAATTAAATTAAAAACAAATATTACCTAAATAACGTTGTTAGAATATTTATGGTGTTTTTTGTTGTAGTGTTTTATGTTTTTTAAATTCTAAACGCAATACACCAGTCATGTGTAAGGTGGTTGAATTCCTGGCTAAGAAATAAACAAATTTCAGTCGATTTCAGGTACTGAAATCTTGAAAGCTAAAACGTGTAGAACAAAAATAAGCACCGAAATAAAATCTTTGATGTATATTCATTACTATTTAAGTTTTGCTTATATAAAATAATTATTTTAAAAACATGTTTGTAAAACATGTGTTTTCAGCTATCCTAACCCTACATTTTAACAAATTTTTCACATATTTACAAATAAAAATAAACAATTTTATATGTATGATTATGAAAGTATATGTTATAAGATTACTTACATGTGGATGTGTATTTACAAAAAATAGATATTTTCATAGATTTCAGTACCTAAAACCTTGTTGGTTTGATCAACTTTTATATCTGTTTTCATGTTTTATTGCAGACATCTTTGCACATATCATCCATGTTATTAGATAAACTTTGGACTATTCAGTTACTAAATGTTCAAAATTATTTGTCTTCAGATTCAGTGTATATACAAGGCTCGATAAAAATTGTTTACAAATTTCAGAAGAAAAACTATGACAAAACATTCACTGCATAATTTACTTGGAACAGAAAATATAGTATATAAGGATTTATTTTATAGTATATGTACGGGGTAGAATAAACAACATTCAATACAAATATTTTTATTTCCTAACTATTGCAAAACATTCACATGGAATATAAGACATTGTAGACAAAAGTTTATTTCAAATACATAACATTATCAAATATTAATAATCATTTAATTAATCCATTTTCATGCTTCATCTTGGATAAATATAATGTTCGTTGTTGTACCAATTTTTCCTTTACTAACCATATATACAGGTCGACTTCTTAATGCATCGTTAAAGTTTTCAATACCTTCCTTTTCAAAATGTATGTAAAATCTTCTTGGTAAGTAGCAGGTAAAATTTTCAGTTTCGGCCACAATACCGTCACCAAATTTGGTTTTACTAAACCTCAGTTTCACTATTTTATACTTTTGATTTATATGTAAATCTTTAATATTCTTCAGTTCTTTATATGAAGTTGCCTTGTTCAACTTTTGCAGATCCATGTTGAATGTAAATGAAAAAATAAGGCCCGGTACTTTGAGTCTTGTTTAAAACTTGATTAACTGATCAGGCGATTAGACTGTACTTATATGATATAAATATAATCACAGTCTAATCGCCTGATTAGTTAATCGAGCTTTAACCGAGACTCAAAGTACCGGGCCTAGGTCTCATATATGTATATATACATATATACCTTACCCGCCCATATTTCTCCAGTACCCCCTCTATCTTATTTACCCTCCTAGCTATCAGGATATAAGTAAATGTATCATTATTTCAACATTTAATTATTTAACTTGAAAATATATATAAATTATTTTTTGTGATTATCTAGTTTTTGACTAATATATATATTAGTATAAAAATTTTTGCATAAACTTGTCTTTGCGATATGACTTTGGATTGACTTTGACCCTAATCGGGTTAAATGGACTTCAGATTCGGATTCAGCGACTCTAAAAACATAGGCACCACGGTCTGGTCTTTCGGACCCGGTACTTTTTTTGTGGCGCTGTGATTATTATATGAAAATAAAATAACTATCCTAACCTCGTAAACTATCTTACAGGGAACGAGCCGAACACTAAGAGCAAATAATACAACTTCGGACGCTAGCGGCAATATCATTCACTCACTTTTTTCTATAATCATATTCAACCTTTTAATGTTCTCCATAGGTATGTCTTTTTAATTATTTTAAATTGTTCCATCTCATTTAAAAGTGTTTAAAACGTTAATTACATTCATGTAACACATAACACAATCCTCTCAATGTTGCGCTTTAAGAACGTTTTCAGAGGGTTGTTATTTGAAGTCCTTGTTATCAACATTTCAAAATGTACTACTTTTTCGTTTCTTGCACAGTATGAAAATATACCTACCTACATATATAAAATACGCGAAACCAACATACAAATAAAGTGCAAAATTAGGCTATTAAATACAAACATTTGAAAAATAGAGGAAATGTAGGTACTTTGAAATTTGCAGAGTATTGTAGTTGGTATGGCTATAGGAGACATCCATGTCACATAGCTGGAACATTTGACTTACCTTTGGCTTTCACACTGATAAATATTTTGGTTCTACCTATCGCCACATTAAAATTATTTTTTCCACGGTCGGGAGTAGAAATCAGTTTCTATGACATCAAAATTAAAACAGAAGTAGTCGATTATTCCCAAGGGAGTATAATGCTCCCAAGGGAGTTTACATTATGGAGAACGTTTTTCATGCAAAAAAAAGATAACATTGAAATTATTTATTGACATTTAAATTAAATGTTACATTTGGACAATTTTCAAAATTAATATTAGAAGGAATATTACTTTCGCTTACATTTACAGTTTTTGTGATTGCGCTAGTAGTGGTACCTACTAAAACCTGATTAGCACTTTTGGTCTTATTTTCAATGGAGTTCTCGACATAACCCTCAGCGACTGTCGTTGATTTCCAACCAGCATGACGCTTTATTGTCGTGATATCCACACCAGCATCTGCCAGTAATGTCGCTGAAGATCTTCGTAAGCAGTGACCAGTATAACATGCAGCATCAGGTAATTTTAAATACGAAGCTACTACACTCGGAATTTTTCCCATGGTATTCTTGCCAACTGGCTGCGAACTACATTTTCCTGCTTTGTAGTACAAAAAAAGGCGCTTATGCTTGACGTGGGGAGGACGAAGGGACAGGTATTTTCGAAACAATTCAAGCATATTTCCCATATCGGTAACCACAAAGGTTCGTGGAATCTTTGTCTTAGTGTTTGGAATTTTTACAATCAAGGAAGAGCCGACATCCTCAATATCATCTACAGTTAAATTGACTAGTTCATCAGTTCGACAAGATCCGGCAATCCCCAGAATTAATCCAACCTATAAAAAATCAAAATACTTAATAATTGAAATACCTAACAACAAAAGTAATCTTACCTTAATCATTAAGAATTCTTTGTCATCTGCACTTGATAGAAAACGGTCGATTTCACCCGTTGTCAATATTTTCGATTTTTTCGCTTGATATCCGTCACCGGTTTTTTTCAAAAATGCGATCAGCTTGGGGAATTTGCTTATATCTATGTTGTCGTAAATTATCAAGCATGACTTAACCATAGAATATTGCGCCCATAATGTGGAAGACTTGTAATTCTTTGCATTTTCACTGAAGTATGCCAACAAAACATTCTCGCTGTATACTTGAACATTTTTCTCGGCGCACCACTTTTTGAACCGATTGTAGGCTATATCGTATAAAGATCTTGACTTCGTAGGCAGCAAATTGTTTATTGCAATATTTGCAGCCTCCACAATCTCTTCCGACTCACAATTATTCATTGTGCACTAAACAAACTTTAAACTAAACCAAACTAGCACCTTAATTTGACAATTCTTTTTGTTTGTTTATTTTGTAGTTATGACAATAACTCAACGACTACTAAATAAATGCTCAAATCCGAATACAATAATTCTGGTGCTACTTACTTCATAATGACAAAATATGTGTTTTTAAGTTAATGAGACCGTGGAAAAAATAGTATATACCATTCGGGAGAGATGCTATTTTGTCCTCGGTGCATTGTAGCCCTCGGGCTTCAAATTGCACCTCTGCCAAAATAACGCATTTCTCTCCCTTATAGTATAATGTACTATTAAGTTTCAGCAGACTGCAAGAAATTTTGTAAATAATTTGGCAATGCTGGAACAAAATTCTAAACCGATTATGCCACAATGCGCAGATTTTACGACAAATATGTAAATGGGGTGCTTTATTAAAAAAAACTTACTTTTAGACCTTAACACTATCATACACATCATCCTGTATACTAAAAAATAATTTTAAAATGGTTTTTTACCTTCTCCGACTTTTATTTAAACATTTTTTATCTCGAATAGTAAAAAGCTATTGCGCTTTCCCACAGAAATGCAATACTCTACATGGCGTATAACGAAGCCTTTAATCCAGGCTAATAAAACAATTATACACAGAATTTATAGCATAATATATTTACTAAAACTCAAAAACCTTACACACATAACAATTAAGTCTTAAAAAGTATGTTTTTCTCATTGTCTGGAATAATTTGCATTAATATAATGAAATACGACTACAAGCAGAAACAATACGATTCCTAGAGCATTTGATAAAACAGCTAAGTGGACGTCAGTAACCATTATTCTGAAACAAGAGAATACCAATATTAAAATAAAACATTAATATTCATTGTGTGTATGTTGAATTCGGATATTTATATTAAAGTATATGGTGATTAATACGTACGCAATTTATTGAAAAAATAAATCTAAATGAATATAAAATAATGAAAACGATTTAATTCGCTGTTTTTCATATTTACTAACTAGATGTCGTTCTAATCTGTTCAAATATATAGGTCTCTTTAAAATCGAGAAATATACCTAAAGCAACGGTCACAATAAGGTCGGATTAGTTCGGCACTTTAGCTGTAGAGGCGCCGACGTTATATACATCTTAATATACATATTCATGTACAGAGTAACATGGAAAAAAGTGCAATGCATAGTAGCACATGATAGAGGACCTTAAAACATATAAAAAGTTCTTATACACTTAGAGCTCTTTCACATTATCCGTTTTTTAACGGACCGGTGAAATTACCAGTCGCGCAACGTATAACCATTCATACGTTTGCGGCAAATTTGTTTAGATCTAGTTGAACAGATGTAGTGAGCAGTCGTCAGATTCCTATGTAAAAAGAAACACAATAATGACTATAACTTTTTAATATCTAATATGAAGTGTACATTGTACAAATATACAAAATGGTATAGTAGTGGCAGGAATTCAAGCAATACACGTCATGTGAACAAATAAATGTCATATGAAACTATATATTACACTAAATGTTTATAAATTACAAAAAGGATTTTTTTAACGTGGCAAGACTGAAATGCTGACAATAAAAACAGTTGCGTGACGTCATTCATATTTATTAACATTTTAAAAATTAAGCAGCCAACCCCGCAAAATACTGAAAATCGCTATCAATGTTCTGATGTACTGCAAAATAGTAATTGTACTGATTTCAATACATTTGTACTGACAGGAACAACACTGAACTCAACGACTGTAGCAAATTACATATAAATTTCCTATCGGAACAAAGTAATATGGGCATGTCGTATTCCACCCTTCGAGCGAGCTTCAGGATTTCAGAACACCCAGTATATACATACAAGCCATAATCTTGTACCTACGGATATGCCGGAGACCGCTGAATTGAAAAGGAGGCGAACAATCATATTCACCTACCTTTCCAATCCAAACCAAAAACCCGCCACGGTTGCGAAATCAATCGCCGTCGGCCGGGCAGAATGAAAAAGCCTCTATAGGAGTCTTGAGACATCGATCCTCACGGCGATAGCGCTCCCAGAGCGTTAAAGACCAATTTCACCGACCTTTCCAGTGTCACCCGCATCGCGACCGATCTCGCCTGGGTCTGCCATCCCGGCGCGCAGTGACCACTGCCGCTGCTCTCGCAACCTGCAGTCGAACCCCGGGACGCTTCACGATGACATTTGGAAATGGCCATTAGAAATTTCACCACCCTTTTGAATTGGTCAAGGACGCTATCGCCAATAACTCCAAAAGTTATTGAGCGATCGGTGTCAAAATTTAATGCAGCACTCCTCAAGTCGCTAGCATTATCTTACTAAATTTTCGTCCGAATCGGATGAGCCAAAACGCCGTTATACGGGGAAACGCGGATTTCACGTTTTCCGCGTTTTCAGCCGTTCCGCTCATTCGATCTCGGCCGAACCCTCCAACCACACTAGAGTATCGCTAGGTGGTTGTCATATCCAAATTCGAACCGAATCGCCCGACTACTAACGGCCAGCTAAGCCATAATAGGTTTTCACGCCTTTAGAGCTGCCGCCGAAAGTATCCGCGCGATCTCGGTCGAACCCTCCAACCACGGCACTATGTCATGCCGTGTATCAACAGACAAAATTTCAAATGAATCCATCAAGAAATAAGACCTCCGTAAGCCCTTTTACGAAGACGGGGAAAATTTCACCGATGTTTCCAATTTCCCCGTCTTTGGGCCGAAAGGACCGTCTTCCGAAGGTTCCACCGCTCTGGCGGTTGGATGCGATGCTCGGCAGCCTAAGCCGAGACCGCGGGTAGAGTTTTTCCCAAACCGGGAAAAAACTCCAAAATCCCCGACGCCGACATCGACTATCCGGAGAGGCCAGAGGGGAACGAGTCCCGGCGTTGATGGGGACGATGGATGATTTTGGTTCGAGATTTTGGCGGACAATTCAAGGCCCGGTCCGCCAAAAGTATGGAAATCCCACAAAAGTGATCGAACGTCTACTTTTGACGTTTACAGTACTTCAGTGGGAGTACATGAGACGGAAAGCGATACAGAGCGAATTGTAACAAATCTTATTCATGGTAAATAACTTGTATATGTTAATTGTGAATCTTTGTTGTTTATTAATTTTATTCAATATATACTTTTAACATATCTTCCACGGTTTGATTGAAAAAACCCTGTCATCAAGCTCAAGAACTTTGGAGCTCAAGCTCACAGGCTCGCTTCACGAGGCTTCCGTCGAGGCTGCCATTCCTCGACGTGATATTGATAGTGCTTTGCAACCACTACTCGCTTAACGAGACAACCACCCGAGGTAGCCTAGCCTGAGGTGAAGACCCTGTTCGATAGCCCCCTGCATCGAAACAGCGGTAAACTCCAGGATCCACTTGCGACCTGCGAAACCGTCCGAGACTGACCACCTCCGACGAAGATCCTGTGCGATAGCCATTCGCATCGACACAGCGATACTCCAGGCTCCTCCAGAGACCTGCGTCCCGCCCGAGGTAGCCCAACCTGAGGCGAAGATCCTGTTCGATCGCCCCCTGCGACGAAACAGCGATACTTTCAGGCTCCTCCAGAGACCTGCATACCGTCCGAGGCTTGCGACCCTCCGACGAAGACTTTGATTCCGACTGTGCCGGCTCCATCGAGAGACCCGCACCTCGGTACAAAGTACACACATAGGCTCCTACGAGACCTACAATTCAGACTCCATTGAGATCTGCAAATCCGAGGCAATCTTCCTCGTCAAACTTCTAGGCGGTCACTCGTCGAGGCAACCTTCCTCGTCAAACCCCTACGAGGCATTTACTTTGTGACCCACGGGCACAAAGCAATAGTACGCACGTTATTGTGGCGGCGTACTTCCAAATTTAGTAAAGAAGTTATCCTTACTTCTAGGGCTCCCTCGAGAGACCCACATTTAATAGTAGAGTCAGTGCTTACTACAAGACGTCTACAAGACTTTCGGAGCAAAAGAGCTTGCTCCGACATTGTCGTACGGGGAAGATGAATCCCTGCGACGCGAATACGAAATCCAGTGCTACGAGGATTGGTGCCCTCGAAGGTAATACTACGAATAATAAATTAGATCGTGTGAGTATGATCAAGACTGAGCTGGACGAGACCTCGTCCCAAATCGGAGAGACCAGCGGTCACACGAACTGCCCTCACACCTGTTTGCCGGCGAAAGATCTCTCGACATTCGGGGTGAAAGAGGAAATGGCCTCTCCTGCCAACGCTATATCGATGCTCCGCGAAGAGTCTGAGGGACCGAAGATGGTGGCTCGCGGAAGTACGCGGCACGGCGCAGCCACAGCGCCGTACGCGTTGAGGTCCGCTGCTACGCGAGTTACTGGCACCATCTCGACCACCCCTCACGACGCACTCGCGGATCCGAGTAGCAACCAAGAGTTACCACGAAGTGGGTCACCCACAGATACTCGGGACGAGGTTCAACCTACGTACCAACTGGTAGGGTCCGGGGAATCCCATGAGTCCAACCACGGTTCACGGTCTGGCCCCGATAGCGGCCTACCTCCGAGGTCGGGTGTTTCGGAACGTGAGCTAGCCGTCGGTGACGACGCTACAGTTCATTCAGCTTTTTTACGAAGTGGTATCCAGCGGGAGCAATGCGCATCGCGTTCGGGTGCCATAGTAAGCGAAAACCCCTTAGCCGACTACGTCATAGGTGACGAAGCCGGCCTTTTTTATCAAAACAATACTTGTACGTCGCCCGTCCATTCTCATGATTTCCCCCGAACATACGATCATCGCCTAAGTGGTCCATATCAAGAAAGTCTAACCCGACACGACGCTCAACGCGGAGCTCGACCTTCTTCGTCGAGATCTCCCCCGCGAGCTCGTGTCCTAGACACCACGTCTGTAGGTCATATCCACCACAGATTCCAATCGTCAGAGAATATAGTGCGACCGGGCGTCGATAGCGACGATCCCCGTGAACTCCGTGCGTTCCTGCCGCGGAACCCGGTCAAGGGAACTAACATCCCAGATCACAGGTTGCGACATGGTTTCCAACGTGGAGCCCGATTAGAACTCCCGATGTCTCCACTAAGGACCCATGCCGACCGAGCACAACATCCCGATCACAATTCCCCGCACAATTCTCAAATATTAGGCACTATAGATCATATTCCACGACATGGCGCCCAACGTGGGGCTCAATTAGAACTCCCGAGGTCTCCACCGAGGGCCCATGCCGTCGTTACCAATACAATCGGTCATACTCCACGACAGGCAAGTCTGAACAAGTCCATTAGCGTTATGTGTTTTTAATAAACAATCCGTTGTTTTCGTCCGTCCGGTGACGGACGAGTAGAAACCCATCCGTTGTTGCACCGGTACCGCACAAATTTTTCTACGAAGTCGATAAGTGTGAAAAGTGTGAAATACAACTCAGCTTGTTTCTACAGTATCCGGTAATTTCACTAGTTCGTCAGTTTACTAGTCCGTTAAAAAACGGATAATGTGAAAGAGCTCTTATGTCTATATTTCTTTTGTTTTCTAGATACAGTGTTAAAGAAATTTTGGAAAATATTGATTTTTTTATTACTTCCAATTAAGTTGAGGGATTGTACTGACAATTAGTACATAATAGGTCTGTTTCTGCAGCAGTTAAGGACTGATTTGAAGCTATCAGAGATATTTGACCAATTGATTCGTAACTTTATACTCGCTGAAAGTACGCGACAACTTAATTGGTCGAGTGATCCGATAGTTTGAAAACAGTTTGAGACTGCTGCAGAAACAAACCTAATATCCTTTACAGGTTGCCAACCAGTGGCGGAGAATTTTTCAACTGCGCCACTGGTTGGCACCCT